GCCAGCCATGATAATTAGCAGAGTATCTCCATCTACACGAGCGCCTCTCTCTCTCTCTAGCGCTCTCAGACCTGCTTTTCCCCCTCCCTCCCATCATCTTTCTCTCCGTCTCTTCTCTCTAACTGATGTCTGGAGGGACTTATGGAGTTTGGGTGTGGTGCTCTCTCTGGCATAGAGGTTGAGCTTCACTGTCCACAGATGGAAGATATAACCACGAGCCGTACCAATAGTGGTAAAATACTCCCTTGCGACTTTAACTCGAAATTACTCTGCACTTTTATTTGATAATAAAAAACAAACACAATCTTGCTGGAGCCAGGGCATTCTCAGTCTATTTGTTTTTGATGATTGGAGTCTGTTGTTATGATGAGGATAAGTCATGATAAAAATCATAATTATTAATGGAGGGGGTCTGCATCATTGATCAGGATTCTGTTGTAAAAGGTAGAATGATATCTGAGAAGCACATTAATACCTTTCAGTAGAGCCGCTACGGCTAATCCCCTTCTACGCATTACTGTCTGTTTTGTTTTACTGTGTTTTTTCTTTGTTTTCTCCAGAGTGTAGACATTTTCCTTCCTCACGCCCCAGCTGATCCGGTTGGATTGCACTGGAGGGAAAAATAAGTAGAGAGAGTCCAAAATCCAGATGCTTTGCGCTGGATCCTGGGCCGCGCTTGGAGTGCAGTCAAAGCGCTGTTAGCATAGCTGAGACACATCAACATGTGCTACAGGGTTCTGTTTGCAGGAGTTTTGGGCAGTAGTGAACAGATGACAGAATGTGTGAGCATGTGTGTATGTGTGTACTTGTACATGTACGGGGAGTATAAATGTGTGCAAGACACAGTTTGTGTGTTTAATGGAGCGAGACCAGCACACTGGTGCTGGTGGTGCGGCGGTGAATGTTATTAGGCCTTTCTTGGGTAAAGATTCCCCATGTGATAGTGACGGCACATTCTTCCTCTCTTTCCACGGCCAAGCGGCATCTGGAGTGGATTTTGTGCGAGCAGACACCGAAGAACATGATTACATTCAGTTAACTGTGCTCTAAACTGATTATGCATGTGCCAAGCTAATGGACTACATTTGCAAGAGGAAAAATAACATCCAATCAATCTCAATTACCCCAGATTGTACCGGCCCCTGAGACAAGGAAGGTAGCCAGCCCGAAGCTCCTCCTCTTCGCTTGAAAGGCCTGCCTGGAAGACCTGCCTCTCTCCATCCTGTCTGGAGCGGAGAACCAAGACTCAAAGCTGGCATGAGTGCAGCCCAGCACCTGAGACATGCTTACTCAGCATGAACAAGAACTCAAATATCAAGTGAATGTGTCCTCTATAGAGCGGTGGTGTGTAATTGTGTATATACGAGTGGTGCAAGAGAAAATTGAAGGAAGAGTAATCATGCAGTATATGGATACTTAAAATCATCTTGAAAAGGCATTTGCAATTCATGTTACAGAAGTAAAACTAGCAAAAAAAATTTAGGGCAGGACACAATCCTATTTGACAGGATTTTAAAAAGTCTCTTTTTGACAGGTGGTTTGGTAATGTTAGTCAAAAAGGAAGGTTGCAAACAAGTTATTACATTTTGATGAAAGATTACAAAAGCGCTTTTTTCGAGTGCACCATGGAATCTGGAATTTGTATTTCATGTTCACTTTCATACACATGCTATGTGGCGACTTTCTCTGACTCTGCAAATTGAAGGTTCCACCAACAATTTAGAACTTGAGAAGCCTAAGCTTTGTCATGACCTGGGTATTGTTATATGGCCCATCGGCAAGTGCTTATGGGTGACCATCATGACATCATTCTCGCCACTACAAAGCAGCCAGCAAGCGGGAACTTGGAGGGAGCAGTGGAAGGTAAAAGTTAATCTGAGATGAGCGCAAGACTGACTGACGGGTGTGTCTGAAACCAGAGAGGAGCTCAGTCCTGTACCCTAGATAGCAAAGTCGGGAAGCAACACCCCTGCTGTGCAGTGGTCTGTGCGGTAAGGACAATTATCCCAAGCTCTCCAAAGGCTTTCGGAACATTCCAATCCGTGGGGTGGTGGGGGAAGGTGTATTTTTAAAAAGCCCTAATATGTGCCGCATACCACAGACTCTCAAATTATCCCATCCAGCTTAGCCTTCAGTTTAAACCTTCCTTTTTAATTCCAGTAATTACAGGCTCCAATTTACGGAGCTGTGCACACAAAGGGTCTGTTTAATGCAAACCAGTTTGATTTGGGCAAAGTGTCCCAAGGATCTACGACATCTTAGGGCCTGTTTATGCTGACTTGATGATTTATTTTCTCCCAGCAGGAGGTCAAAAAATTTTGCATTTTGTATCAGATTTCATTTGGAGGGGATAAATAGTGTTTTTTATTTTCCTTTCCTGTTTTACCACTTGTACAGTCAGCTTAGCTGAGCTAGCAAATCATACTGTTGGTGTCAGCCAGTCAGTATGTCTATCAGGGCTATAAATTCACTGCAAAGTGAAGCCTGTGTCATTGTGGGGTTAGAAACCCGTGCTACAGCAAGACCTCAGCGGCAGCATGTGCTTATGATCCTCTAATCACATTTGTATGTCATGAAATACAGCTATAACTCAAACTGTGAATGTCTTAGTTTGCGGGAAGGCCTGTCGCCACTGATGGGAGCTGCTTGCTTACAAGGCTGATGCTGTTGTCAGTCAACACTGTTCTCTCTTCCTCTGTTCGGATCTGTAGGGATTTTAGGACTGAGGAACCATTTTAAGCAGCTTAAAGCTTACAAATTATCATGCTTGGAGGTGTCGAACATTTCTAATCTGCCACAGAGTACTGAACATTCGCAGTTAGGCGGACTAGTCTCTCCTCTGCTAGCCCTCTTTCTTTAAAGGGAACGTCGGTGGCAGAAGGAATATTATAGTGTTTCTAAAACATTTCGGTACTAACAGTAGACTTCATTAATATAAGTATGAGGTGGATGCTGGGATTTCCAGCTCCATGCAGCACAGTAAATCACAGTTGGTGGCTAGATAAGATATTTTTCTGCGATTTCTCGCCATTGACGCAAAAACTCCTGGTTCCCCAGGTCCTAAACCCTGCCTGGAGCTACATGAGGCCCATGACTACAGCAATGCCTCCACAGGTCAGCCAAGCATGTCAGGAGTCTTGTGTTACATATTTGAATCATTGTGGTATTTGTAAATACGCTCATTGCATGTTCTAACTTGAGTATGGCAGACAATCTCAGCTCAGGCTTGTCTGCTTTTATCACCAGATGCAGAGGAAGCTGGCTTATGGCTTTCCCCTAATTACCATTACAAACTAGTTCATCAGGGGCACAGCAGACCAAGAGCCTCTCAGCCCAATGCCAAGGTAATGACAAACCTTGACAATGCTATACTATCTCTGATTGTAATTGGTCAACATACGGGAAACTTGCAATGAAGTCAATGGTGAACTGGATTTAATCTTGGTAATTTTATATCAAAATTTAACAACATGGCTCCAAAATCGCTTTCCTTTTCAGCTGCCCTCATTTAGTTGGTGCTGGCAGGGAAAGTAATGTTAACCAAAATCCAAATAACTATTTAGCCATTTTCTTAGGCAACGTTTGGTAAGGTTAATAGCCAATGATGTCTGACCCCACCGTTCTTGTATTTTTTTTCTCTTTGAATATTCTATTTGTCTCTGAAGTATGTTAAAGTAGGTTGCAAATGCATGCTGTCTTAAGAAAGGAGTGTAAATAAAGGTCGAGTAAGCATGGGCAGTGATGTAAGCTCAAATGGGTTGTATGTGAGTCAGTATCTCATTGAGCATGTGAGAACAAGTGATAGAGAGAAAGAAAGGGAGAATTAAGGAGAGAAGTCCCTGTGTGCAGTCGTGCCAGTCTAGGTTAAACACAGCCTGAGCTAGGCTCGCAGACACACAGGATAGGTGCCTAAATGGAATCAGGCCTGTTAGATTTATGGCCATTTGTTCAGAGAGTGTTCATCCATTGGCTATTATGGAATGATTAGAGTAGAAGGTGAAGCTCCAAGTCCGGTGAAAATCAATACAGCTGTCGAGAGCGATTCTGCCCTTCCCACTCCGAACGGTATTAGCACCAAACCTCTGTCTCTTCACACTTCTTCATCCTCTCTTTCAGCAATTTCATCAGCTGCCCTTCTCCCCACCTTGCTGACCTGCCATGTTCCTCCCTCCCTCTAAGTGCCCCTGTTCTCCCCTCTCCATTGCATGCACATTAGACCTTAATATACTGCACCGGGCCATCACTCATAGTCGGCAGTAGAGATGGAAAGTGCTGGTCAATTCAGTCGCACAGTAGGCTGGAGGTGTGTTTAAAACTCATAGAAAGTGTAACACTGTGTGCTAACCAGAAAGATTTAAGTTGTTGTCCTAACCTCCCTCAACAAGCTATGAGGTATTTTGTTTTCGTGTTGCACTGGGTAGAGAAATATTACTGGTTCAAATTTTCCCTTTTCCTAGTTGTATATTAAATACAAATATTTTTTGTTATGAGATTGCTGAACAGCATTTTTGCTTTCAGTGTAGACAGAAAAATACTTGATGTTGGAAACTTGGCAGGTATGGCACTGAGTTACTGTAGGGCTACCAGAGTCACTCACTGTGACGGGTCTCCTGTTCTTCCTGCTACGGCTGGCCAGTGGGTGTGGTTGGGAGACTCATCAAGTGAACAGTGTGCACCTGTTCTTCCCTCTATAAAGCTTAGGCTTTGTTGGCATGGGGGTGCTTGCTCCTGGTTGCGTTTGCTTGAGTTTGGACTTTGTTTATTTTGGACTTTGTTATTACAAGTTATTTAAAGTTATTTAAAAAAACAAGTTATTTAAACTTGGTTCTGTCTGATGCTTTGATTGATCATGTGTCAGACAGAAATTGTGTTTGATTGTGTTGATTTCTTGTTTTATTTATTTTTCTATTTATGTTAATTAATATCTTTGTTGCAACCAAACCAACCTGACTATGTCCTCCAATCTTTTGTCATGGCTTTGAGCCGGTTGTGACACTCACCTTGTACAGCTTGAGACTGGCCTCATGGCGAGAGTTGACCGTGTGCATCCTCAGTTTTTCCAGGCTGTTGGTATAGTAGTCACAGGCATTGCATTTGAGGTGTACAGGGTTGCCAATGGCCACGCACTTGAGGCGCCACTCATTACCCTTGCCGCCCTCCTTGATGTGTGCCACCAGCTGATATTTCTGCACGTGTTTGTCAGTCTTGCAGTGCAGCTGAAAGTTGGCCTTGAGCTGCGAGGTGTAGTGGCACAGCTTGCACTGGTGCGAGTCGCCCACCACCGCTCTCCACTCCTCCTCTGGGAGCGAGCGCTCGGCGCTCATGTGCAGGCCCAGCACGTCCAGGTTGTCGGTAGTGAAGCGGTTGCACACGGCGCACTGGAAGAGTTTGAGGGAAGGGTCGCTGGTCTGGGATAGGCTTTCACCCAAGGTCATCAGCTCCTCTGAGACCAGCTGTCCCCCACCCAGGCGTACATCCATTGCAATGTCCCCTCCAACTGAGAACAGAAGACACAAAAGTGATCAGTGATCTGTCTGACAGAACATCAGTCTTTCACAAGTACACTGTCTCTTTTAAAATACCGCATTTAGCACCACTTATCCATTCATTTTAATCTGTGGCAATAAGGGACATATGGACACATGGTCCAATACAATGTAACAGTGAGGGATGGGCATTTCATCTGTGCTGATTTTCCCTCCCTCATTTAAACTTCCTCAAGTTACAAGAATGTCCTTGGAAACAGGGAAAAGGTGCATAGTTCAGCCTTTTAAGAAAGAGTCATGTTTGTCTGTGCAGTCAAAGTGGATTTGCTCTCCAGGATAATGTGCATGTGTGTATTTATCTACATAATTTTATTAAACCAAGATTATCCTTTCCTTTGAGCTCAGAGAAACCGTAAGAAGAGAGAGTGGAGGTGTGGATTTACACAGTCCTGCACTTTCATAGCCCTGCCATTAAATCAACTCCAGAGTCTGTGAGCAGAGGCGCAAAAATAAAAAAAGTTATTCAATCATTACCGGAGATCTAAAGAGCTCCCAAGCACACATTACTGTAAATCAACTACAGGCATCTTTTCACAAAATAATTCTATAAAATATTAGATCTTCCTTGTTGAAGTCTGGCTCTTTTACCTTTGATTGGGAACAAATCAATGCAAACACCTTCCTGCTCAAAGTATTTGTATTTTTTTTTGTATTCGTGTATTTTTAAGGAATGAAAAGAAGTTGTGGGAGCCAAATAAACTATATATTCAACAACACAAGCAAAAGGCATCTAAGAACAGCTTGGGGAAGAGGCTAGAGGCTGAGATTTGGAGACCAGGGATGCATAGAAGCTGCTGCCTCAGTTTGCTGATCTTCAATCTGTCACTGCCCAGATTGAGAGCACCCGCTGAACCAGTATAGCTTTACACTAAATTAACTCAAGCAGCTCCTTTTATTTATTGGGGCAGCATGCGGCCTGCTCATTTCACCATTACCTTCAGCTTTTAGTGCAGGGACAGAGAGACCTCTGGTAATCTCCTTCAAATCATTGTCAGATCCACCACTCTGAAGAAAACTATTTCTATTTATAATGCTTTCTTTTAGTTTGTTGATTTTTTTACTCTTAAAAATTCTCTCGCTCTAGCAGTTTTTAGGGGTTTTATGCCTCTTATTGCCTTATTGTCTTTTGAGATTTGTTCAACCTCTCATTTTTAGTACTCTTACAATGTGTATCGATTAAGAAATACATTTTATTTTCAAAAACCTTTCATGTAAATACTTGTAATTCTGTCAGTTCTGCTTAGTATTCATGACCTCTTGAGCATATCTTGTAAGAAAATATTTTGAATATTTTGCTTGTGCCAGTCGATAATAATGTTTAAGTACAACAGGAAAGATGTTTATGGAAAAAGCAATAATCTGAAAGGATGTACAAGTTCTAATTTGCAATAACCAATAAAATGTTTAATTATGATGTCCAGATCTCAGAGATGTAATTTGTCACTTATATGCAAATACACAAATGTGATATTTAGTAGTGTGAGACTTTAAACATATGAAAGTGCACTGAACATTCCAGATTATTTGTATAATGACACCACTGTTCTTTATAAGACTTATGTGCTGTCAATTCTTCCCTGTTATATGTTCATTGAACATTCCCTTACCAGAAAACCAACCAAATGACTACAAGAGGGAGGATAAAAAAGAATTAGTCACAGCAATCAATTCCTGTTTCTGTCTTTGAACTGGCAACATTTTGAATCAAGTCTGTGCAAATTGTGGGCCTATAGCTGGCATGCTAAATTCTACTATGCTGCTGAATTACCCTCACTAGGCCCTTTTTCCTTCCTTTTTTGACTATGGTAAAGTATATAGCTGCAATTACAAAAGCAGGAAAAAAAGGAAAAGCTGGTATGCAGTGGTAGTTGCATAGTATTGACATGAAAACAGTGGTTTAGTATGAGCCTAGAGGACAGGGCCATGTGGCACACTCCCCTGGCCCCAGCCTACTCCGTCACACTATCTTTCACAAGAAACACAGGGGCAGCAAAAGGGGGAATTTCCCAGCCAAAGTGACCCAGATAGAATGACACATAGAGGATGCGAAAAATAAACCGAAGCTTGAGTGTTAAGAAGATGTGTGTGCCTGTCTTTCCCACTCGCTCACTCCCTCTTTTTGTCTGTGTGCCTCTGTCTGCGTTGTGGAAGCTGAAATCTGCAAGACTAGTAAGCACTACTTGAATATGCCAAAACCACATTTTCATAAATCTAATGTACCAGCTTATGTTTCAGCCTTTACACAAACACACATAAACAAACAATTTTTCTTGTTTCAGGCATTAAACCATGCATGATGTCTGCATTAAGGAATCATGTCTTTATTTCAAGAAAGCTACATACTGAACATGTTGCCACAGATTTTTTTTCATTATGCTGTAAATCAGGTATATATACCTGTCACTCAAGTCAATTCAATACCAAAGAGTGCACCTTTCATAAAGCATGATGAACTTCTTCTAAGAGATAAGTGGCCCTTCTCTCTTTGCATACAGACACTCGCTCCCTTCAAATACATTTCAGCCTTATATGTGCCTATTTTTTATTTCTCCCTCCCTCACACACCTTGTTTAAGAGAGTGAGTGCATGTTAAACAAGGAAGGTGTGCCTGAAAGCTAAAGGCACAGACAGAGCTGTCAGCGTGAGGAAGTAAAACATTTGTAGCCATGTGTTAGTATGGGTGGAGATAATGCAGCAAGGGGGGGGGACAGAAATTTAACATAGAATAAAAAAAAATCACCCATACAAGATAAAAGTCAAATAGTTTTACAGGAAAGGCATGGTTTGAATAAACAGGAAAGGCTCTTATCTGTCATTGAGAAATTACAGATAAATAGTTAAACAAAGAGACAGTGCTCAAAACCCACATAAACTGCAATATGTGTTAACTGTAACTCATTAAACTCACCTAGTGCTGGGGCCAGAGCTGCCATGTTGGGGTCCAGATGAAAACCTCCAAGCAAGAACTGGGCTTCAGCTCCAGATGGGTCCATCTTAAGGCCTGGTGGCAGGCTCATGTTTTGGGTTAAGTAGTATTGGTACAGCTCAGCCTCTGAGGGTGAAGGCATGGTGCCTAGACCAAGCCGGCCGTGCTGCATTTGGGTCATGTTCTGCTGAAGCAGCATCATGTTGTGCATGTGTTTCTCGCTTGTCATGTGGATGCGCAGGTTACGTGCTACATTAGTCTCATAGTCACAAACCTCACACCGCCAGGTGGGCTTGCTTTTTGGCTTGGTGGGTGAAGGGGCACCACAGGGCCCTGCCATGTGGGTGGAGGACTGGGCAGGATGATGGTGGTGACTAGGATGATGGCTGCTGGCCTGGGTAGCAGAAGAAACAGGCACCACCCCTCCAGGTGCATGCCCAAACACTTGTTCACCAGCGGTCGGAATAGTTCCTCCATTTTGTAACGTCTGCATGTTGTTAAGATGCTTGTCAGACTGCATATGAATGCTTAGGTTGCCTTTGGTGGTAGTGGAATAGTTGCAGACCTCACAGCGGAAGGGCTTGTAGCCACAAGTGTAGCTCTCCCCACGGGCAAGGCGAGGGTGACTCTGTCCATTGCTGCAGTACACACAAGAGCTTCCAGAGTCAGGGTGCTTCTCCTTCATGTGGGCCTCCAAGGTCTGCTGGTATTTGTAGTGCCAGTTGCACTTGGGACACTTCAGTGTCTTGCACGAATTCCGCGAGTGCATCATGGTCATATGGCCACCCAGTGAGCGAGAGGAGCCTAGAACAGTGTCGCACTTCGGGCACTCCACACCACTCCCTCCACTGCCCCCAGCCCCATGGTTCTGGGTGCACTCACTCATTCCTGACATGTCACAAGCAGCTGTGTGATGGAGGTGCATGTGAGCATTGGGTGAAGGGTGTGGGTGGTGGTGATGGTGGTGAAGGTGGTGGTGGTGGTGGAGGAGGGCACCGTTGTCCTCATCTCCTTCTGCTGGGCATTCATTTGGTTCAGGAGCTGTGGCACTATCTCGATTGGCACTTTCCTCAGCAGCAGCATTGGACGCAAGAGGGGAGGACGTGCTCGCAGAGGAACATGCGGCCTCATCCTCTTCACCCCCTCTGCCGGTGACTGCCACCATTGCCGCGGGGAGCGTAGACCCCTGGCAGTTAAAGCTCAGAGAGAGATCTGAAGTTCTCCCTCCACCGTCTGCAGCCATCCCGTCCTCTGACCCTCTGATAGAAGAGGAGGACATGGAAGCAGAGGCTTTGCTGCTGAGTGCGGGGCTGGCTGCAGAGATACAAGCAGAAGGCTGGAGAGCGCTACTAGGCATTAATAAAGGAGATTTGGAGATGCTTTGGTTTGAGACAGCCGGTTCCCCCACAAATCCGCCACTGCTGCTGCTACTTCCACTACAGGCCACCGCAGTGCCTTCGTCCTCTACCTCTTCATCCTCTTCTTCTAAAAGAAGCTCATCCTCTTCCTCTGAGGCCATCTCCTCACCGTGAAGGAGAGCCTTTCTTTCACAGGTTTCTGCATCCCCATCCTCCCCTCTATGAGTCCCCTCTTTCCCCACAGACCCCTCTGTTCTCCTACCCTGCTTGGACAGAGTGTTGGAGTCTTTGGCTGGGCCTGGGGTTGAGGTAAGGGAGGGCTTGGGGCTGCCAAGACCCCCCAACGTGAGGAGGGCTTGTTGCCGGAGACCCGAGTCAGAGTCTTTGTTGAGGAGGCTCTCACCTCCCTGACTACTGCTGCCCCCTTCTAAATGAACCCCACTGAACGTGCCGTAGAAGCTCTGGCCTGAGTTCATGGGTACCAGGGTAGGCGGTGGTGGAGAATTTTTATTTTTTGGTTCTAGGAAGCTAATGAGTGGTTCTTTGTCTTTCCCAATGCCCTGTATAATCGCCGATGCATGCTTGTGGCCTAAGAGCCTGCGCTCGTCCTCACATAGGGTCATGCGATGGTCATGGACTGCATGAGTGACAAAGGAGCGTGCGTAGCCGAAAGACAACTTGCAGAGGAAACACATGAGGATGGGCTTGCCTTTGCCATAAAGGGCCAGGCCATCAAATTTGGAGAAATCCACGTTGTTGGGAACATCTTTGGATACGCAGGACTTCTTGGCAGACCCGTCGCTGTTCAGGTAATCCTTGTTGCTTTTGTGCCGCACATCAAAGACGCGGAAACTGTGCAGGACAGGACTGAGGCCTGCCAGGGTTGAGGTATTGGGGAAACCTTGGTCTGAGGAGCCGAACCACTTTCCGAAAGACGAGGCTATATGAAACGTGTTGATGATCTGAGGGTACACCGAAGAAGAGGTCCCCGCAGGTTCCTCTGGTTTTCCCCCACTGGGGAGAGAGTTTGAGGGGAGCAAGCCTGGTTCCATGCTCCCATCGCTTTGGATCAGCTGGCTGAGACTCTCCACAATGTAGGCAGAGCCATCAGGCTGGTAGACTATCTCTCCAGCCAGGTTTTCCACGTCACTACTCTCCTCTTCCTCCTCTTCCTCTCCTTCTTCGCTCCCACTCTCTGTGGCTCCCCTCCGATGGGAGGGCTGTTGCCGCATGAGCATGGGCATGCCCCCTCCGCTTGGCACCATAGGTACACCAGAGAAGGGCTGCAGACTAGGGAAACAGCTGTCAATCTCCATTTCATCCAGTTCTTCCAAGTCTTCGTCCTCTTCTCCACAGCTAACTCCCTCCTGCTCCTCCTCCTCTAACGCCTCTCTTTTGGGGTGCAGCCGTCTGGTAGTGGAATTATCACCGTGAACCTGTGACAGTGTTTGCTGCTTCTGTTCTCTTACAGCCTCGCAGGGTGTGCTGGGATTCTGGAGCTGGGCTGAGTGGGGTGCAGAGAGAGACAGGGGCTCCAAGGAAGGGTTGCAAGGTGGGACCTGTGCGTTAGGGTGATTGTTCCAGGGTTGTGGATGGTGATGCTGCTGGGAGGTGGCAGAGGAGCCAAGCCCATCGTCTGTCCCAGAAACCACGGGAGACTCACAGCTTTCCATGCTGATGCCTACATGAGGCGTTCATCGCATCCAAGCCTGAAGAGAAAAAAGAGAGAAAGAGACAGGTTTAAACTACTGCTTGAAATGTATAATGTCTCAGAACATAAGAAAAGTAGATAATATACATCTTTAATGCGTTCTTGTCATTGTTTCTATTCAAGCTAATTTTCAGATGAACATTCAACCAGACATACAAAGCATCTTGATAAATGGTGAAGCCATGTACATGTATAGTGAGTGGGGAGCAGCTTAATGTATAGTAGATTAGATGAGAAACAAAAGTGTGAGATATAATGGTGGAAAATGACAGAGTGCTCATTAGGTTAGATTAGGTACTTAAACACAATACGTCAGACAAGCACTAATAGGGCAGCTCAGATGCCTCATCCTGTCATATCAGCCAGTTACTATCTTTTATCTAGACCTTCCACACAACACCCGGAGTCTGCTATGTTCCAAATCCTGCATACATTTTTTTTTGTTAAATTAACGTTGAGTCTGAGAAACACAGTAACAGAATAACTTAATGGATAAAAAGCTCCATTGTGCTGCTAATTAGACACAGTGAAACCCACCATCAGCACACGATCCATCTCACACCCAAAGAAAGAACTGAAGGCTACAAAAATATATTATCCATGCTGTTTTAGGACCTCCATTATAGAGAGATCCCACACACAGAACACACTTCACGAACAGATCACGCCCGTAAGATGCATTTAGTGGATGCGTATATGCTTTTTACAGCAAGCATTTATATTTATGTATGTAAATACACACAAACATAGAAAGAAAGATTTGTTTATATTATTTGTTAAGCTTAAAATACAACAGCAATGCTGGTACTCTAAATGCTGTGTATAGATCTAGCATCCAATAACCTGCACGCTTAGCCTGGTTTTAAACACTCCTCTGCCTCTGAAATAATAAATGAGAGCCAAACTTTCTAAAGGGAAGTGCTGCCCCGAGCAACGAAAGAGCCATGAGCAGGCCACAATTTCAAGCAGGCGATAAAGAAGATAGAATGATAGCGAGAGATACTGCTGAGCTAATAATTTTAATAAAGGGATGCAGGCAGCATTGATTAAAGGGGGCAACCGGACTGAAACCAATAACTCTGGCCTGGCCTTTCACCCTCCATTGCTGAATATTACATGAGCAAAGTTTCCCGGCAGCACGCTAACCACCGCGTCCTGCCTGATTAGCACATTCGCTGCCTCTACTTGATTTATTTACTTATTTACTTAGGGATGCAAATTTCAGCAGTGATCAGACACTGTGTCTGCAGCCCCACCCCCACCAAATGTATTAACATGAGAGCGTTTGGCTGGGGAGACTGATAATGTTTGACTCCCTCTGATGAAAATTTGACACCCCTCAAGTCCAACCCACAAAGCCACCCCCTCCCTCCCCCACCCATGTCAAACAATGACCATATTTTTTTTGTTTATGTTTAACTGCTATTATGTATTTTGCTAATTGTAATTGTATAATTCTACTTACATTTCTACAAAATTAACTCCAGAATTACAGTACTAATAATGTGTACTTTGTCTAATTAAACAGACACCCAATAAATAATGAGGTTATTATTGACTATTAAAACATGAAGATTAAGTACACTGACAGTTAGATGTAAATGGTTAAAGTGTTTCTTTATCATTCCAATACAAAATAATTAAGTGTTACACTATTAAAATGTCAATCAGCAACAATACGTTTACATTCAACAACTGACAGAAGTCCAAAAATAACATTCCGGTAACCTGTTCCTATTATGCCTCCCTCAGCACTGCTGCAGCATTATGGGATTGTATGTAATAGAAGGAGTAGAGAACTACTTAAACTGTTAAACATAAACAGCTAACAGATTATGACTCAGGCTATCACAAATGGTCATTCTTGAAAATCTGCTATGATACGCTTTTCATTTAAAGGAAATGAGATGGCTTCCTTTAAACAGTGCTAGAGAGTGGCGGCCCAAGCCGTCTGGCCAGAAAACAGGATTGCCCTTTAAAATGGAGATGGTCTAATTCAATAACCTGCAGTGGTTACTGATGTGCAATAGGATTGTCTGGAGTCTGCCAGTCGCAGATGGGCGGGCAGATATAATGTAGTTTGTCTGCTCAAGGTCTGCTTCCGAAGCGACACCTGTTTAAAGAAGGGAATCTTTAATCGCTCTACTACACTAACGAAGGTTCAGACAGACATGCAGATGCATACAACAAACACATATTAGGCATTTCTCTCACAGAGTCAAACACTACATAAAAATATGTATAAAACATAGTTTCCTTTATATCCTTTATATACACATTCTGTCATCAATGCCTCATCTTCATTAAGCAACCCTCTCCATGAAGCTGTGAATCAGGAATTCAAGTGTTTCTTAGAGGGACACAGAAACTGTTCTCAACTCAAATTAAGCACAATAGAAAACATTCCCTCTTAACCTGCCAAACAAAGTAGATAAGGTGTCTAACGATTAAAAAAAAAGCGCAGTACATAATGAACACTGTCAGAAGCTGGGTCTGGATGTCATTTAGAGGGGATAGAAAATTAGATAAGTTTTTATTTATGGGCCTTTTCATTTGGTGGGATTTACTGGCTGAGCAAAGAGGGAATTAAAGGCTAAGGACCCGTCTGATTATAAGCACGCAAAATCACCTGCCCAGGGGCCAGGCCTCCAGAGGCCCAGCGCTCCCTACCCTCTCCTGGGGAATTAACTCCTGCTCGGCCCCAGCTGAGAACCGCCACGGGGTGCGGCCTGACCCCCACGGCCCACCCCCAGCACCCCTCAATACGTAGAGAACGTATCCTTCCAGAGACTTTCAGAGGAAGAAAAAGGCTTCATCATCACCTCCCTGTGGTCTGCAGCAAGCCCCGCTTTTCTTTTCCCATCTCCCACCAGATCTAGCCATCGCACAGGCTGGCCACTACAGGGTTAGGGCGCTTACTGAAAAATCAATGGCATAAATGCTAGGCAAGTTACAGGAAGATGTGGGAAGGGAAGGTTCCTATTGATAAAGCAGGGAGGGCCTCCTGATATTGCACAACGGGATGTATTAATTGAAGTTGGGTGAGAAGGCTTCATCTTTGAAGTATGGCCAATTAAATCGCAAACATATGTAGAGAAACTGTTCACACCACTACTGCATTATCAATCTTAATGCTAAAATTTTGCTTTGTTAAAAATAAAACAGAAACTACAACTTAAACATAACCACTGAGCGGACAAAATATTTATTGTGTCAGTATGTAGATGACACTACATGTAGCTCATTCATAGGTGTAATTTGCGGGTGGGCCGGGTGGGACATGTCCCCACCACTTTTTGAAAGTAATTGAAAAATATATTGTGGAAGGTATGTAGCCTATTAAAGGGAAAACAAGATCAACAAATCATTCTTCATAATCTAATTAAGGTGAAAAAAAAAACATTTGACACCTTATGCATGCATAACTCATGCAGTGCAATAACGACGTGATTTGCAGCTGTCGCACTTTTCATAAGACTTTCAGAGGAAGAAAAAGGCTTCATCATCACCTCCCTGTGGTCTGCAGCAAGCCCCGCTTTTCTTTTCCCATCTCCCACCAGATCTAGCCATCGCACAGGCTGGCCACTACAGGGTTAGGGCGCTTACTGAAAAATCAATGGCATAAATGCTAGGCAAGTTACAGGAAGATGTGGGAAGGGAAGGTTCCTATTGATAAAGCAGGGAGGGCCTCCTGATATTGCACAACGGGATGTATTAATTGAAGTTGGGTGAGAAGGCTTCATCTTTGAAGTATGGCCAATTAAATCGCAAACATATGTAGAGAAACTGTTCACACCACTACTGCATTATCAATCTTAATGCTAAAATTTTGCTTTGTTAAAAATAAAACAGAAACTACAACTTAAACATAACCACTGAGCGGACAAAATATTTATTGTGTCAGTATGTAGATGACACTACATGTAGCTCATTCATAGGTGTAATTTGCGGGTGGGCCGGGTGGGACATGTCCCCACCACTTTTTGAAAGTAATTGAAAAATATATTGTGGAAGGTATGTAGCCTATTAAAGGGAAAACAAGATCAACAAATCATTCTTCATAATCTAATTAAGGTGAAAAAAAAAACATTTGACACCTTATGCATGCATAACTCATGCAGTGCAATAACGACGTGATTTGCAGCTGTCGCACTTTTCATAATGTCATTAGGCTATAGCATTTTATTTTAAAAATGGAGAGCTTCCTTGTGCTAAGTAGGCCTGCCCTCTACTAGAGATTTTTCTAGTCAACTAGTCGCACGTTATATTAAATTGATTAATATAATAATATATTAACCATACTTCAATATAGGCTATAAGCAGACGTATTAGGCTAGACTAGAGCCTATTCCTCGCTCAAGCTCGTGCATAAAGCAATTGCCTCAAAGCACCGGTAAAGTGATTATGAACGTGTCGGGGGAAAAGAAGACATTTTAATTATTTATTAATAAACTAGTGCTTTCTGAGTCAGTGTCGGGTGCAAAGATGAGGTTGCCGAATGCCGACGCGAGATCAGTGCAGCTTGGCTGTGGGTAAGGGATGAGAGAACATAGCTATCCGCTGCTACTGCCAACACGGCGCTGAAAACAGGACTAAACGCCGGTTCCCAGCATGCATCACTCCCAGAGCCACAGCCATTAGTGAGTAAGGCCCAAGCGCTCTACCTGCACACTGACACTAGTTAATAGATTATGTTTGTTGTGGAAATGGGAGGTACTCCTCTGTGACTTTATGTAACAGTAAACATCCTCAAACTCATCTGTTACTAATTGGTCTCTGGCCTGAACACAAACGAATTGATTCCGAGGTATCAATAGCGTTCTCTGTTCTAGGGGCTGAAACTGAATCTTGGTGATAATTTTCGCTCTCAGGTAACAGCATAAGATCTGTAAACGCAATCAATGTAGCAAAACAAAGGGAGCATAAAAATGTTTTCCTGACAAAGCGTGTGATGCAATGTCAGGCTGCTTTTAGCGCCATTTATTCCGCCGATGAAAT